AAGACCAAGGCGAGCTTTGTTTGATATGTCGTAAACGCCACCTGCTGACTCAGAATGTTCACCATGAATACCGCGTATCTGAAAAAACACAGTTTTCATTAGCAATTGCATGTTTAGTACATTCCTTCTGTATGTTTCCTAAAGCGCACGTGAGCGTGGATTGCAAATTCAGTGAGTAGAATTCGAAGGAAGTGAAAGGTTTTTGGGTGCATCAAAGCGAAATCGACTCGTGTCGCAGGCTTTCTTGCGCAAAATTGATTCTCACAATAGGGGCAGGTCTGCTTTTTATATGAGTGACTGATTTCTGTTTGTGAATTTTGCTTTGTACCTGAAGCTTCAGTTCATCGCAGATTTTCTTGAAATCTGGTTTTGCACTAATTTTTGGCAGACGAATATGAACTGATGCTCGTACTGTAGTGCCAAGATTTGTTGGGCAGAAAGTGAGCCAGCCAAGTCGTGGATCTCTCGAGAATGGAAGACTTCTCTCGATAATTTTCAAACCCTTAATAAGTCGTCCCAGTACCTGTAATCATCAGCACATTTGATTATGGCACTGATTTCGGAATGCATTCAGAAATTCAACAAAATACACAACTGCTAATGCAAAAAGTTTGCAAAAGACAAAACCCTACTACGCTACTTCATAAAAGACGGAAGCATGTGAGATAGCCCGAGTAAAAACACTTGTCAACAGCAATTAGAAACTCGGTAAACCCTTTGGTGGGTTCTTTTTAGCAGATTACTTTACAAGTTTATAACGCAGAAATATATATGACATAAAAGCTAACTACAGCTGTTTTAGGAGGGCTATAGAATGATGCATACTTACCTCTCCAACATTACCACCTTTTTGCATGGATATTATGCGCAGATGGTCCTCCTCGTTCACCCATATGAGGAACGTTTTCTTATCGTTATGATATATGCCTCTTCCGGTTGGCCAGAATCGACAAGCGTTGGCAGCTTTTAAGAACCTAGCAACATCATAGTAAAGAGAAATATGCACGAATGAGCCGTCACCGGTCATTCGCTTTTTTCAGTGTTCTGTGCTTAGGGACTACATTTGCTGTCGTGCGGCAATTGTAAGCTATATGCATATTCGGCATCCATTTAACTGAGGTAGTAGCTTGAAACACAGTGAAGTTAGAAAGCCGATATTAGCGCTTTGAGTCATTTTAGCGTCAAAGACCAAAACAGAACTTTTACGTTTTCCTTTTAACCGCGAAGCTGAAAGTGCAAAACAGACATACAAACAAGCAAACACAGATCGGACAGTGTTAACGAAGGTTTTCGTATTTGTACACACGCAACAAAAGAATATACAAATTCTGGATTCCTCCATGTTTTTTGCATAAATTGCTCAGGAAATCAGTTTGGGGTGACGATTTTATAACCCAGGTAGCAGCGCGTATCAAGGGCTTCGGTGCGATCATGCGTTTTTGAATTTAACTTGAAACATATAGGTCATTATCAGCAGTGGTCTCATGTTTGCAGTGTTTTGGCCCTATCCTGCATGCAGGAGGAAAGGGACATTGGTTGGGATAGCAGTGCTGCGTTATGGGACCGCGTGAAATCTTATCCTTCAGCACACATGATTACTGTAAATTTCGCATGAAGAGAAGTGAAAAGTTGGCTATTACCGGTCGTTTACTGGAAATCCAAACTGGACAATAAACACAATGTGGAGAAAGAACAGTAAAAAATTCGTAAAACTTTCGCTTGCCCATACGTGAGAATCAAGCGTAATCAGGAACTAAATTTAAAATCTTGGAATAGTACGCAGACAGAAGATTTCTTCTTAAAATTTCAGCCTTCCAGCTTTTTGGTTCCTGAATTAGAAACTTTTCCATCAAAACTTTTGTGTATCTAAAAGTTTGATCTGGAAAACTGAATTCGAGCTCCTGGAATCGCATTTAACCTGTTGGCGAAATCTTAGTATCTAAGCTTATTCAGTTGTCGAGGTGGAACTCCCAGACAAATACAAACAAATATGCATTATGGATACGCGGTTTTGCCGAGTGTTGCAGTCCAAAAACGCATAAGAACGTGGTTATACTTGGCTATGCTAGACTCTCTTGCTTGCTTGTTTGCAGTTGCACTCCGCCAGCTGCTCGAGTACCGTAGGTTGTCTGTACGGTTATTTTTTATTTTGCGAGCTGTACTCAATAAGTGATTGTATGGTCATTAGGAATGCACCTAAAGACGTCAGTAAATTAGAAACAAAAGTGCAAATACCTGTCACCTTCCTTGAACAAGAAGTGGTCCTCGATCAGCTGCTTCTGCACTTCTTTAGTCATGCCAGTCAGTGGATAATACGTTCCCTTCAGCTCTGGATCTGTTACTTCGGAAAGCACCTTTTGCATCTGTATCTCAGAGGTGGCTTATTTTCTCAAAATCAGCTTTAAATTTCGATTATAAGTTATGGAATTTATTTGCTTATAAATTATAAACGCCTGCTATTTTTGTTCCACAGTTCTTGCATCGATTCAAATTACCTTAGCTTCCATTTCCTTATAATTTTCTTCCGTAAGACAGGGATTAAAGGGGTATCCCTGCAGTGAGCGTCCACATCGTATTCGCGTTGAATTGATGTAATTTCCTTCCGGATCCAAATCCAAAAGCGAACTGGTCTTCCCTGAAAAGTGCGCCCTCATACTGAACGAATAACTAATAAGAGAAGAGGTTACATCACGAGCAGGCGCATTTTTCGAAAAAATAGCAGGTGCGACAGGATGTGGGAAAAACAAATGTTTCTAGATCTGAAATTAGCACCTTCTCCAAGATCGGTGTCTGGTTGTTTTTGGTTCGGTCCGAATCCGTTGTGGTACTCCTCAATGATTGGATCGAAAAGTGGCTTGAACGTACTGTAAGATTCGGCATCAGGGGCATACACACCGACGCCAGAATCGAGGTTAGCAACACCTGCATCAGGAATAATGGATTCATAAAATATGCATATTTCGAAAGTTACAGTGATTGAAGATTTTCAAATATCAATAATTACAAGCAATAAAAAATTCTCCTTCTTTATTTCCCCATCTCATACAGGATAGATGCAACAGCAATGCAGAGTTTTGAAAAACGAGTAAAAACTTTAAATATTTGTTACTAATTAAAATATTTGACAATAACTGAAATTTATCAAAACATTCTAAATTTATAAAACTTCATCTCAGTACCAATAATACCAAAAATAGGGCAAACAGTACGAATGTACTATGTTAGTGATGCTACTGGAATGCTCCTACGCATAAGTCCAATCACGCTAGGACATTTGATCATGACCTGCGCACTCCAGTTAGTACTTAACGCCCGTTCGATTTGTGTGCACTAATCTTCCGGAATCGCGCGAGTGGTCGTTTATCTCTTAACATTAGTTGATTTTACTGGCATTAGTCCTACTGCTTTAGTATTATTATTGAATTTTGTTTTAATATTAAATTATTACTAGCAATAATTTTGGTCAGTATTAGCGTATTAATCATTTTAATTAGGACGAGATCCGAAACGAGAAACTTCTCGACTTTTTTCTCCTTTACTCCAATCCTGGCTGTGATAAATGTCATATTTTCGCACAAACTTATCGGAACAAAACGCCTACGTTGCGTTTTTTGATCCGTAAGGAACTGTCCGCATCATGTCCGGACATGACGAATGGCAGTGTAATTAGCAAAATTACAACACACCACTGTTTTCGCCGTTAAATTACAAAAAAAAGACCTGTGGCTCTTTGTGTGTGAAAAAAATAGGCATTCGATGAATGTTCTTTGCATTTTTGTGCATTTGTGTATGCTGATAACTGTGTATGCTCATAAAGCAAGTACGGCAAGTAATGTCAAACTTCAACACAGCTCTTTAAGCGACAAATAATGGCCCTTCAGAAATTCAACCAAGACGATATTCGATTAGCGGATTTCAAACGTTGACATCAGTTTTTACAACTAATGAGCAAGTGGCTCTTTTCGAGGAGCAGCAATTATTATTGTACTTAAGCTGCACTTAACGGGTGCGACTTGGCGTTTCACTGTTGCGGCCCCATTTTTCTTGTTTTCTGGATGCTGTGAGCATGCGATCCATTACGTACTAAGTCTTTAATCATAGTTTTTCCGATGTCTGCGCACCAAGATCATATTTTTTCGATTTCGATGCCGATGCTCATTCTATTTTCTACGCTTTACTATCTCTCTAATAGTTCTATTTTAATGAAAGTATTTCTTATCAAAGACTCCTCGATGAACGACAACCGAAGGAGCAAGATGGATTCCGGAGTAATTACAGTACGGTGAATCACATATTCACTCTGAATAAGCTGCTAGAACGAGCAAAGGCGTACTTGTCTCTTATCCACTTATCTCTTATTCTCTTATTCACTGGTTCTTTGTCTCTTATTCACTGATTACGAAAAAGCATCTGATAACGTAGAGCTAAATCCAATGCTGCACTGGAGGGGTTTGACAAAAACTATGCGAAAACCATTCAGAAAGCAAACATAGGCTGTTCGACTGACATAATACTTTCTTCCACTCCAGTACACATATCGATCGAAAGTGGATATGGTAAGTTGATCCTGTATTGCCTAAGCTTTTCACGGCCTGTATCAAGATGGTATTTCGGAAACTGGATTGGAGAGGCGGTCTGAAGGTAGGTAGTGAGCAGCTAAATCATTTGCGTTTTGCGGATGACATAGCTCTTATTATCTCATCTCCACGAAACAAACGCAATACTACAGGAGCTCAACGCATGAAGGAAGTGGGCGCGAAAGTCACTGAATCGGAAACGAAGATGATGCAAAGTCCCAGTATGTCCGCAACAAGATGACAGATAAACGGTGT